AAGCCACTTCGAGGCACCTTGCGCTATCGTGAGCCATCTTGGAGGTCAGTTTGGGCTTTCTGAGGCCCAGTTGGAGCCGTCTTGGGACATTTTGAACGCTCCAACTACCCGCCGCCCCCCCTGTCCAGGTCCAGGGGAGGGGGTGGGGGGGAGGGTTAAACCCTTCCCCGAAGGGGAAGAAGGGGGTTGGAAGAGGAACCTCCTTAGACCACGTCCGCCCAGAGGGCTGGTGGGATTGATTCAGACGCCGCGCTGCCGAGACTCATGAATCGCACTCTCGCGTTTGCTGATCTCACGATTTACTTCGGAATTGCGCTATCGCTCGAGCTCTACTCGCGATTCATCAGTTTTCACACTTCAGTAACACGCCTGCTCGACGTGGCCGCTTGGGCCCGCCTTCCCGCCCGCCCGCTAGGCTCTGCCCGCCCGATGGGCCTGTCTGGTTCTGTCACGTGTTTTCGTCTCCTAGTCTCCCTCCTGCAAATCCCGTGTTCCATCCTTCTCCCTCCCTCTTCCATGTATGTTGGAATCGCGGTATCGTCCGATACTTCCTCGAGATTCATGCAGGACGCACGCTTCAGCAATCCGCCTGTTCGACCTGGCCGCTTGGGCCCGCCTTCCCGACCCGCCCATTAGGGCCTACCCGCCCGATCTGCCCGTCTGATTCGGCCACGTGCTTTCTGCTCCCAGCCCCCCTACTGCTACTGAGTCTTGTGCTCCGTCCTCCTCCCTCCCCCTTGCCCCTTCCTTCCATCCGTCCTCTGTTCCCCTGCCTCAGGGGCTGCACGAAATGCACGTCGCAGGTAAGAAACATATACCGCTAAGGGGGGTACGTTCGAAGACGAAGAGGGCGGGTATCGAGGGTCTGGGATATATGTGTTGAACAATAAGAGCGAGCAGTCTTAACATTATTGTTGTTGCTGGTGTTGTGGTTGTGATTGTTGTTTGTTGTTGGTCGCTGTCGTCGTTCCGCCTTCTCTGTTCTTTAAGCCCCTGGGGGGCGTTTTCCCCCGTTTTGAACTTTTCGTGTTTCGATTGACCAGCACAGAGTCAAACATGACATCCCAACGTATATCAAAAGTTGCACCGACCAGGCCCAAAACAACCGAAAAACGGCAACCCAACACAGAAACACATTGGCAACTCAAAACAGAAACACATGACATAAACAGAACACATAAAAACTGCATTTAAACAACTTGGGATCATACAACGAACCGGAAACAACGAGACGGCAATCCCCAAACGGAGAAACAAAAAACCAAAACAGGGAACACAAACAAACGTCAATCTTGAAAACGAAACAAATGCCCCAGCGTTTTAAGAACATCTAAGGTCCCGCCCGCGACCTGGCCCGCGACCCACCCGCGACCCGCCCCGCGACCCACCCGCGACCCACTCGAGACCCACCCGCCACCCACCCCGTGACCCGCCTGCCACCCACCCGCGACTCGCCCGCGACCCGCCCGCGACCCGCCCCGCGACCCACCTGCGATCTTCCCGCGACCCATCCGCGACCCACGCGCGACCCACCCGGCCCGCGACCCACCCGCGACTCGCACGCGACCCGGCTCGCGACCCACCCGCAACCCACCCGCGACCGACCCGCCCGCGACCGACCCGCGACCCACCCGTGACCCATCCGCGACCCACCCGCGACCCACCCCGCGACCCATTCGCGACCTCACGCGCGACCCAACCCGCCCGCGACCAACCCGCGACCGACCCGCGACCCACCGCGCGACCCACTCGCGACCCACCCGCGACCCACCCGCGACCTCACGCGCGACTCACGCGCGACTCACCCGCGAGCCACCCGCGACCCACCCGCGACCCACCCGCGACCATCCCCGCGAGTCGCCCGCGACCCACCCGCAACCCACTCGCGACCCACCCCGCGACTCGCCCGCGACCCACCCGCGCCCCACCTGGCGCTGGCCCCCTCACTCTTGTCTGCAACTGCGGGGTGCTACATATGCGTCGTTCTCTTCACATGTTACCTTTGATGGTGTTCGTGGTTGCACGTGCGTGCGTACTTTTTTTTTCTTTTCTTTTTTCTCTCTCTCTCTCTCTCTCTCGCTTCTCCGTCTCTCTCTCTCTCTCTCTCGCTTCTCCGTCTCTCTCTCTCTCTCTCTCTCGCTTCTCCGTCTCTCTCTCTCTCTCTCGTTTTTTTTTTGTTGTTGCTTCTCTCTCTCTCTCTCTCGTTCTGTGGTACTGTGCCGCAGAATCCTTGGAGCAGGGAGCCGGTCGCCCACCGAAGTCGGCCCGGAACAGGAAGCCCCCGGGAGCCCCGTCGCCCCCCGGGAGCCGGCCCAGAGTTCTGGAGTTTGGGCGTTGCGTAATGGCGGGGTCATAAATGGGGGGTTGGCGAGCGCGGTTCGAAAAGGTACCCAAACGGTACCTAAACGAGCCCCCTGGGGCTCTGGAGGGGCCCGAAAGGGGCACGAAAGGGGACCGTTTCTGACCCCCCCATTTGTGACCCCCCCATTAAGCCATGCCCAAGGAGTCGGGAACGCCGTGCGCATGGTCGCCTACACCTTAGGCGATGCTTAAGAAAACCTAAGTTTTCGTCCAGAGTCTCGATGATTCTTAACTTCTCAGTGTAAATCCCAGGATTTTGACAGAAGTTCTGGGTTCTCTTTCATATCTGAGACTAGGAATTTCTTAACCCATGATTTCTTAAGCATCTCGCAGGGTGTACTGGAGTCTGCCCCGTAGGTTCACCGAATGTTTCGACCTGTGCCAGGACCCCCTGCATGTTCACTGAAGTTTTTCGACATGCTGCCCAGTATGTTCACCGAATTTTTGGACATGTTCATCGAAATTCTCGACATGTGCAAGCACTCGTGTTTCGGCTCTGTCGCCTCATCGCCCCATCGGTGCGCTCGTGCGGGCACTTGTTCCAGGACCGGTAATTTTGGCACTCCCGTGAACTGGAAGACGCTCTCAGCGACGTGCTGTTACGCTGGTTTCTTGCGTCTCCTGGCCGGAACAGCGATGACTTGGCATGATAATGAGTGGCGAATAAGGTTCAGGAGGGGAAAAAACACACAGACACAATTAATCGTCGATCCCCAGGAAAATATGCGAAAATATGGGAATTGGGGGGGAAGACAAAAACCCAGAAAATATGAGAAAATATGGGGAATATTTTTATTTGTGTGTATTTATTTGTGTGTTCTGGGGCCCCTTTAAAGGTCTCGTGTTGGATTCGTTTGCTCTTCTTTCGTCTCCGCTCGTGGCGGCTGCGAGGGGGGGGTGTTCACAGTACTACTCTTGCGGTCAGCCTCTTCGAAAAGCGGGATGCCCTTTTGCTACGTTCACCGTTGTCCCTTGACCAACATGCGGCCACATATGATCCAGGAACCTGCCAATTACCACACTGCGTATGCACCTCGAGGCTTCGGGAACAGCCGAGGGTGTATTCTCACCGTTGTCATGAGATCAGGTCTCAGCGATGGCGCCCACCTCGGCACACCACAGATGTCCCAGATGTCGTATTGCAGCGTTGCGCCACAACGCGCTCTTGACATCTGAGGGCCTCTGGCTCCTGGTCTCTGGCTCCTCATTCTACCAGAAGGACAGTGAGAAGGATAGCGAATTGTTCGATCACGCCGCCGCCTTGCTAAACACTCAACCGTTAAATGTTTCGCATATGACTGCCAGCGACCGCTGAAGACCGTTGTAGAGACCGCCGAAAACAGCCGAAGATTGACGAAGGCAGCTGAAGGCCGATGGATCATAAGGGGTCCATGACCGAACGCGCGACAGAAAATGAACAGGAGAATGCAGGAGGAGGCGGAAGAGATGGGAGCAGAAGGAGGCGTTGGAGGAGTACGGGGAAAGAGTTTTTACTTCCGAGCTGGAGGGGGGGCACAGACGGGGGCAGACGTCGAGGGATGAGCCTCAGTCTGGCTGTTCTCTGGGGCCTACCGCCACATAAGCGACGCTAGCAAACGGGCTCGTCTGCGCCGACATTGGCGCGTAAGCTGCCCGTGTAAGGTTGCGCGTAAGTGCCCTTGTCGACAATGCAGCGTGCCGCGCTGGTGGGCCGCGTAAGCCACCGCGTGAGGACGCTGTGTCATCTCGCCTAACGCCCGTTGCTTATCGTCGCGAACCTGGGAGACGGAGAAAGAGGGGTTGCCTTGCGCTCGGTCCCCTCCTCATCTCCTCGTCCAGCCCCTCGTCCTCGTCGTCTCCATCTCCTCCTGGCATGCCCGAGGGCACGAAGGGCGCTTGTTCACAGATGGCCATGCCTTCGAGGGGCCCCACGCCGAGGCATCTCTGAAGCATCTCGCCCTCGACCGACCTCGGCAGCAGCTCGGCATCGTTCGGGCGTGTGACCTTTTTCTCGGCGAGGGCCATCGAGGAGCAGATTTGATCATCTCACGAAAAACGAACACGCACGAGATCGAAACATGCACGGGGAATGGACGCTCGAGCGATGGCGAGGGAGGGCACCTGCACTGGACCCCTGGGCTCCTCCTCCTCCTCCTCCTCCTCCTCCTCCTCCTCCTCCTCCTCCTCATCCGACCCCTCCTTCTCCCCCTCCTCCTCCCCCTCCTCCTCCTCCCCCTCCTCCTCCTCCACCTCCCCCTCCTCCTCATCCCCCATCCTCCTCCCCCGCCTCCTCCTCCGCCTCCTTCTCCGTCTCCTCCTCCGCCTCCTTCTCCCGGGTCCCGCGCAGAGGTGCACAGCAGACGCCCTCCTGGCGCATGGGCCCTCCTTGCGCGACCCTCCCGAGTGGCCTTTTGCGTCGGAGTCGGCACGCGCTCGGCCCCCTCGGACGATAGCACGAACACGACAGCTCGAACGACTTGCAATGTCTAGCAGCCGCTGGGAACACAGAATGGGGGTTACGACGCGAGTCCGCCCACATCTAGATTCTTCAGGCCACGGCCTCCACGCGATGCCCTGCTGGGCACGGGCGGGCGTTGACACGTCTCGCTCTCGACCGAGGGCAGCGGAAGCGCCGGCCGCGAGCGCCGCCCGCAGCGCAGGCGGGCGTGCACATCGTCTCGGGGACGCCGGGGCGCGTCTTCCATATGATCCAGCAGAGGCGCCCCCTTCCAGGGCAACGTTTTGGGGGGGGCGTGCTCATGGGGGGATACGCATCGACCCCCCCCCCCTGTCGCCCCTTGATCGCCGATTGGGGCCCGATAGCCCGCCAGGACCGCGCGGAGTGGCTATCGGAGGCCTGTCGCCGATCCGTCGGCGATGTGTCGTCGATTCGATCTCGATGCTGCCCCCCCAATCCACGGGGAGGAGAGGGTGGGGGGGGGCACGACGGCGGTGGGGGTGGGGAGGACTAGCTGGCGGGCCCAGCACCGGGACACAGCGTTCCAGAGCGCTCTCGGAGCGCTCCAGAGCTCCCTGGAACGGCCGCGGCGCCTGGCACATCCTCCAGAACCGCCAGGTCTCCGAGATCCCCGAGTCATCACAGTCCGATTTTGTCCTGGTCCCGGCTTTGTCGTGCCAAATGCCCCCGAGCCTCTGACTGCGGAGTCTCAAGGATTGGTCCTGGCTTGCCCTGGCTGTGTGCTGGTGTATCCCGTTCCCGTTGTGGTTATGGTCTCCCTATTGTGTCTGATTTGTGACCGGATCTCAGAGTTCCTCGATGTACCCCTTTTCCGTTTTCATCCCGCGGTGCATGATGCAGGCCGATGTCCGATGCCCCATGATTTCCTGGTCCTGCTGTGCGCGCGGGGCACTGGCCCGCGCTTGCAAATAGACGTTCCATTTTGGTGGCAGCTGCGCGTTGCCCGTACTTGGCCTGGCAGGCCAAGGGCAAGGCGACGCGCCATTCGGGGTGCCCTGGTTTGAGCTTGGCAGGAAAAGGGAGGAGGAAGAGGCGGATGAAGAGGGCGAGCAGAAGGAGGAGGAGAAAGTCCGTAGCAATGTTGGCTCAAGCAATTTGGGCTCAAGGCTCCGGAGGGGGATGTCTTTTTCGCGCCAGACAGGCTCGCCTGCAGAGTCCTTTTTCGCCAAGCGTATTTGGACACGTCGCATCGCACCATGGGCTAAGAATGTACGGAAGCCGCTCGCCATCGCCCATCGCCAGCAGACGTCACGCTTCTACGTGGTCTGCCAAGGTCGCGGGGCTTGGCAGTGCACGCCCAAGGCCAAGAGGAAGGTTCGGTGCAAATGTGGTGAACCACTTCACCTGCCTGCTAAGACAGGCGATGATTGTGATGATGACAAAGGAGGTGCAGCGGCTCCCGAGATGGATACGAAGACCATCCTCACCGCCATCCTCGGGGTCCTCAGCGAGCAGCAGAAGCAGGAACTCGGCCCCGCAGCGCAGTCAGCGGCGGCGCTGGTGGCCCAGAAGAGGCAAGCCCCAGCGGCAGCGACCGTCGCCGCCACCCAGCGAGTGCGGCAACACGAGAAGCGCACAGAGGAGCCCGACACCCACGTCCAAGGGCTCGAGGGCCAGCTCAAGGAGGCGAAGGAGGATCGTGCCAGAGGTTCGAGGTGGCCAGCAGCCAGGCCGCAGGCGGTGGAAGCCCACCTCCGTCGACGAGATGGACGTGGAACCACCCACCCCAGCAGCGGCGGCGCCCGCGGCGGGCGCCACGGCTCGCGGCCAGTGTCCCAACGATGCTTCCAGGGTTGCGAGCGGCCATCAGCGAGCTCCAGGGCGCCGACGCGGAGCAGGCCAACACCTTGGCGGAGGCCCATGCCAGCGTTGCCCTCGCCCATGTGTTCGCCGTGATGTCGCAGGCTTTGAGTGGTGGGGCTCTGCGCCCCTGGATGTGGAAGGACCTGGCAGGGCCCAGTCACTCCTCCCGGAGACCAGAACCGCCCTTGCCCCGAACCCCCCGAGCCGATGGTGGAGCTTCGTCCAACAGAGAGCTCGCGAGGGGCACCCTGCCAGGACAAGAAGCCCGACGGGCCTGAACCGCAGGGGGGCTCCAGAAGTTCATCGGGGCGGGCCTGAACCACTTCGATTGGAGCTCCGACCGCAAAACCGCAGAGTCCTACCCGGTCTGGGAGGCACTTCCCTTAGGTTCTGCGACCCTTTCCTGCGCCGCGACCAGCTGGGGAGGCAGGTGCAGTTTTTTGCAGGCCCGCGCGACGAAGCAGGCCCAAGGCGGCTTCGCAGACTCGCTGGAGACCAGCATCGGGCGAGGCCTTCGCCAGAGGGCAAGAGGTCGAGGTTGCTTCTGGAGAAGCTCACGACTGCGTCCCGGAAGAGGAGGTCCTCGTGGACCCAGTTGAGATCATGGGGCCCTAAAGCCTGTTTTGGGAGCAGCACTGGGGCCCCCAACACGTTTGGGCTGGCGATCCTGTTTCTGCGCCCTGGATTTAAGATCTCCGGGGGGGGGGGGCGAGGGGGGGGGGGGGCGGAAAGCGCGCGTGGCGTCGCGATCCGTCAGTCAGGAGAATTGACAAGGAGGGGTCGGGGGGGGCAGGCGGCCGGAGGGTCGGGTCCCATGACCCAAATTATAACCATTTCGGTCCAAGACGGCCTAGCCCCGGGGGCGCCGACGAGGCCCCCCAATGGCCCATGGCAGCCCACAGAGCGCCCGAGTTACTTCCAAGACGGCGTCGGAGGGGCCCAAGAGGCCCCGAAGACAGCCCAAGAGCGCCCCAAGAGGGCCCAATACGGTATGCAGACAGCCCAAGCGACCCCGACGACGCCCCGAGAGGCCCCCAAAGGGCGCCTCCAAGAGGCAAGCATCGCCCCATTCCCATGGGGAAGCGCACATTTTTAGCGTATCCGCTTCTTTCGTTTTCACAGCGCCCAGCGCGGCCCAGGAGGCCCCCGATGCCGCCCCAAGAAGTCCCCAGTGGCCCCCAGGATGGCCCAAGTGGCCGTCACGACGGCCCAAGAGAGCCCCGAGACGCCCCAAGAGAGGTCTCTTTGAGCCCCAAAAGGTTCCCAAGAGAGCCCCGAGAGGGCCCCGAGAGGCCCCCGCGCGGACCCAGGAGGGCCCCCCAGAGGGCCCCAAGACTGCTCAAGCCAGCCAGGGCGGCCCGAGAGGGCCCTGGGACTGCCCATCGGGCCCGACGACGGCCCTGAAGAGCCCCAAGAGGGCCCCCAGGAAGGCCCGGATACGCAGTCTGTTTTCTACAAGATTTGACGGTCGATTTTCGCACGTCGCGCCAAAGCCTTAACGCCAACAGGGCTCCAAGGCTTTAAGCCAGCGGCCTCGTGCCCTCACAGAATAAACGCGCTTTCCGTTCCCATGCCAAGCGGGTTGACCTGGGCGGAGGGGGGGGGAGGTGGTCAGAGCCATCAGAAACTTTCCAAGACATTCGGCCACCGGCACCGAGCATCGGAAAGTTTGTGATTTGCTCGCGCTTCCAGGCACAGGGCCCCCCTTTCTCGCCGATTGAAACTTTTGAATTCCGTCGAGAGGACGCAGACCATGCCAGCCCGGCGTCTGGACAATTTGGCGGCACTGAAGAGACCGCGATTACGCGCGGGGCGATCGCGCTCGCCGCCTCGCTCGACGGGCTGCTCGCGAGGATTGAGGGGTGGGGGGGGGGGTCGGCAAATGGGAGGCGGCCGAGGCAGGAGACTGGGGCGCGGCGGTCGAGGGGCCCAGTTGCCTTGGGGCAGGTCAAATTCCCGAGCGTGTTGCAGAGATATGGGGCGGAGCTCAAGATCAAGAATGTCGGGCGGTTCCTGGATTTGGAGAAGCTCGACGACGCCATTGCCACCGAATAGATGTCGCAGAACGCAGCGGGGTTGGAGTGCCCAAGTGCATGTCTCAGTGTCGGGGTCATGACCCATCTCGCCGCGCATGTCCTCGCCGCAGAGATGGGGGTTCGAAGGGCGAGCGCCCCGCAGCTAAGCGTCTCGGCAGGGCGCGGCCAGGGCGCGGCATGGGCCCGAGCTTTGTTGCGCGATCTCCTCCATCAGGCGCGTCCCAGGTTCGATCGCCTCACGCTGGGGACCTGGGTCGACGATTTGCGCGCCCGCATGGTCGGCTTCGCCGGATCGCGGCTGAGTGGCTTCCCAGAGCCATGAAGTATCTCGAGGCAGGGCTAGTTGATCCCGGGCGCGAGCTCTCCCCCAAGTCGGCCCTTCTCGCGAATGACAGGTGGCAAAGGGGCCGGGCCCAGGACTCTCTCGAGCTCCTTGGGGCCCCCACCCAGACTAAGCTGGGCACCGGGGGCCTCGGGCTCGGCTCCGCGGTTGGCAAGAGAAGGCGCCTCAATGTCCGCGGGGCCAGGCGGCGCCCTGGGTTCGAGAGGCGCAGTCAGGAGCGCCCGCCGTCTCCATCGCACAGGGTCTCAGCCGCAGCTCAATTGGGGCCCGAGGGCCACGGGGTCTCACCGACGGGGCTCGCCCAGCGCGGGAGGAAGCAGGGGCCGCCCTCGGGGCCAGCATGACAGGAAGTTGTCTCGCGGTAGGCCCCCACCAGTCCAAGCTGGCGCCAGAGGCGTTGGACCCCGCCATTCTTCACAGGGCCAAGTTGTTGGAGATTTGTCTTTCTGTCTATCTCGTCGCCACCGAGCCGCAGCTCCGCAGTGGCGCGGCGGCCGCGTGGCCCCAGATTGTCGCCGAGCTTCGCCGGTCCAGCGGGTGGAACAAAGTGTCCAGCCACTCCAGCGCAGCGCAGTCGTGGGGGCCTTCGTGGACCTCGGGTGGAGGCCAGATTCGGCCCGGCCCTGGCCCGACCCCTACGAAAGGGGTTCCCCCGCGGGGCCCGACAAGTTCGAGGGGCAGGAGTATTTCACGCGCAGATTCCAGCAGCGCCTCGACCACAAGGCTTGGCGGTCAGAGGGGGACACGCAGCAGGAGGATGTCAGGGGGCAGTCGACACCAAGAGCTCACATTGGCAGATCGAGCGGACTCATCGCGATGGTCAGAAGAACCTCGCGAAGGCGCTCAAGGCAGCACATAGTTGCGCAGCTTGGAACCCCAGGAGACGCTTCGAGACAAGACAGCAGAGGGACTATTGTTGTCCGCTGTGTGGAGATCACCATTGCGACGACTTTCAAAAGTTCTGGGGCTGCCCACTCCTGCTCCAAGTAGAACACCCACTCATACAGGCTACCGAGGACTTCGCCGATGCGGCCCAGAGGGGGTGACCAACCAGCGCGTCGCTTGCTCCGTGGACTGACCCCAGCAGGCCTAGCGTCGAAAGCAGAAGAGGGCTCCCCCCCCAAGCATCGCTTCATACAAGGGGCGGGGGCCTTCTGAGTCCTCCTGAGCCGAGGGTTGGTTGGCGCCTCGGCTTGGTGCACGGTTCAGCGGGGATGCTGTAGGGGTTCTGACCATCAGTCGAGCTGAGCTCAAAAGGGGGCCATGGAGCCCCTCAGGCACACTGAGGAGCTAGTGGTGGCAGATTCTGCCTATCTTTTCCGTTGGCACCCCAAGGGGCCTCGCAGGAAGATGTCTTCGAATCGCAGGATCTGGCTAGGATGCTCGAGGGTCTTCGGCGCGCGGGCAGGCCAGGTTAGGTACCTTAAGGCCGAGTCACATGCCGCTGACCCTGATGCACAGGCCCGTTGTGCAGCTTGGGCCTTCCATCTTAACGACATAGCCGGCGAAGTAGCATGTGAAGCTGCCGCACAAACCGCCATTCCCCAGGAGATTGTGCAACGAGTGTTGGCCCTGGGCATTCTTGTTGAACAGATCCGTGGGCGGCTAGAAGCTGTGCAGATGATGTGGTGGATCCATTTTCCCATAAATGCAGTTCCCGCCGAGGCCAAGGGAGCTCTGCGGCGGGAGCGGAACGAGAGGGCCTTCCAGCATATTGTCCCTTGGACGTCCTACTGGCGAGAAACTCAACGGGACCAAGTCTTTTGCGCCAGGTGCCACAAGGAGACCCACCGGAGGTCCGCGGCACGCCGGCTTTGTTCTTTGCGTTCGGCCCCTTCCTCCTCGGCTACCCAGGCGTCCGATCGGGGTCCCAGGTCAGTGGAGGTCGCCAGCGTACAAGACGGAGGCCCCGCCGTTCACCCCAGCCACAGACCCCATCATTCGGTCCTTCGGGGGATCCTCTGGTGTCGGCGGCGCGGGCGTTGGCGGGTTCGGGCTTCCAAAAAATTCAAGGAAGCCTGTGTCGCCCCTCGGAACAGTCAGGGTGACGGACACAAGGGCATTTGGAAACTCACGAAAGAGCAGCTTTCCCTGGCCCCCAAAAAATGCCTTGGGGAGGCTCGTGGGCCCCAGTATTTCCCCTAGCGCGTAGGGGTCGAGACTGTCCTGTGGGGCGCGCGCGCGCGCGGAGGAAGAGGAGGAAAAGGAGGAGGGGGAGGTGGAGGAGGAGGAGGAAGAAGGGAGGAGGAAAAAGACGAATAAGAAGAAGAGGGAGGAGGAAGAGGATGATGATGATGATGATGATGATGATGATGATGATGATGATGATGATGATGATGATGATGAGGAGGAGGAGGAGGAGGAGGAGGAGGAGGAGGAGGAGGAGGAGGAGTAGGAGGAAGGAGGATTGGACCCAGACCCCTTATGAGTCAGGGAAAAATCAGTACACAAGGTTGTTTTTGTTTGTTTGTTATTTTCGGCCCCCGGGGGCCATCACGGGGCCTCGGGACCGTCAAACAACGACTCAGGACGAGACGCCAGTCCCGGGGAATGGGGCGAGGCCTCGTGGGCCTCTTGGGATGCCTTCGTCGCCACCGCTGGATTCGCCACCCCGGGAGAGGTCCGGGGAGTAGATGTATCGGTACCTTTCGGTTTCCCCAGGTCATGAGGGAGAGGGGTCCTGAGGAATTTCGCCGCGTGCGTGGCCTCGTGGGACTCTCACGGGACCCGCGGGCCGTCTGAACACGACTCGGGGTGAAAGGGCTTGTCCCAGGGGAAGTCCGGATGTTCAGGACGCCCCCTTTATGCCAATCTCTCCTCCCTGTCGGGGCTGCTAGGAGCTTTTGGCAGGTTCTTGGAGGTTCCATCCTTGCTGCTCCCTGCCTGCTCCTTCTGATCAGGCTCCGCCTGCTCCTGCTCCTCACCCTCTTGCTGCTGCTACTCCATCTCCGTCCTCCTCCTTTGCGTCGTGCCTTGGAGGGCGGGGGGGGTGGTCGGTGGAGGCGTGGGCGGCGGTTTCATTTCGATGCCTCCCCCATCTGTCTCTCTCCTTCCGCCTCCTCCCTCATCCCTCTCCATTTTCTTCCCCGTAGAGACAAACGGCTCGCAGAGCTTTTTAGAACTCCCTGGAACGCAAAGCATCTGACAACTGCCAGCATGGACCCCGAAACGCAGTTTCTAGTTACCCCGGATGAGAAATTATGTGGCGCCACCCATGGAGCAGCTGGGCGGCAACCAGATATCGCAGCAAATGTGGCACCATAGCGCCCCAGCCATAGGGCAACAGGGCGGCACCCAGAAATCGCAGGCTACTAAGTCACCGCAGCGCACCAGCCACAGAGCACCATCAGCATCATAGAGCGCGCGCCTCAGGGCGCCTCTCATAGGGCACTACCCACAGGGCAGGTGGACGAGGGGAGGAGGAGGAGGCGGAGGAGGAGGAGGAGGAGGTGGAGGAGGAAGAGGAGGAGGAGGAGGAGGAGGAGGAGGAGGAGGAGGAGGAGGAGGAGGAGGAGGAGGGAGGAGGAGGAGGAGGAGGAGGGAGGAGGGGAGGAGGGAGGAGGAGGAGGAGGAGGAGGAGGAGGAGGAGGAGGAGGAGGAGAGGAGGGAGGAGGAGGAGGAGGAGGAGGAGGAGGAGGAGAGGAGGGAGGAGGGAGGAGGGAGGAGGGAGGAGCAAGTGCGGCAACCACACAATCGCAGCAGACTTGGAGCCACCCGTGGAGGACCCGCCGTGGGCCTCGTGCAGCACACCCACATAAACACCATGGCGACGACCAGAAATTGCAGCAGACGCTTGACGAATTTCAGGAGGGGAAAAAACACACAGACACAATTAATCGGCGACTCCCAGAAAATATGGGAAAATATGGGAAGTGGGGGGGGAGACAAAAACCCAAAACATATAGGAAAATATGGGGAATCTTTTTATTTGTGTGTATTTATTTGTGTGTCCCAGTTCCCCTTCAGAATTCTCTGGCACAAGCGCGAGACCCTGATTATTTGCAAGCGCTGCTTGGGAATCAGAACGCCCAAGTACCTTCGAAACCGCCTCCCTCCTGCCAACCTCCCTTCGACAACCTGGCGAATGCTCTTGGAAGAATCCGAGAAGCTCCAGCGTCATCCAGAAGCTTCCGAGAAAGTTGAACAATGGGCCTACATTGCCGACTTTCAGAAAATCCACTCCCCCGCGTCCACTCCTTCATCCTCCTTCTTCCCCACCTCTGAGACTGGCCTGACGATGCCTCTTTTGGCTCAGGCTGGCGGTGCAGCCGCCCCGAAGATGTTACTTCATCTTCTCATATGATTCCAGTGCAGTCAGGCAGATTCCCAGCCCAGAACGTGAATGGGGAGGAGGAACAGGAGCAGAAGGAGGGGGACGTGTGGGGGGAGGTTCTGTATGTTCTCAGGGTTTCCTGATGGAGGTCTGTTGGGGGGTTGCATGAGGTTTTGGGAGAGGGTCTTGCAGTTTACTTGTCCCCGTTCGCCCCCTGCGACTGTCTACTATGCCGCCTCAGGAATCCATCGGGCAGGGTATGTGGCTTGTCCTTCTTCTGCCCTTTTCCCTTTCGCTTCTTCCTCCTCCGTCCCCCCCCCCTCGCCTCCTTTGCACTCACCCTTCTTGCCAGAGCCCCTGGAATATCATACCCACGATCGCATTGGATAGCGTCCTCCCGTCGGACAGCGCTGCTCGGACTCTGTGCGCTGGCGCTCCCCACTGCCGTCGGCATGCCCACTGCCCGCTGATCTGAGGACTAGCCACCGGCGACCTCGCCGAGCGTTGGGCGTGGACGTGTCCCGCCCACTGTGGGCGGGACGGCGCCCGTACCCAATGCGACCCCGAGGCCCCCGGGAGCACGCAGCCAGATCGGTGGCCACGCTCGGGCCCCCGACGTCGTCATGCATTCCCGAGGCGGACCACCGGATTCCTCGACTCTTTCCCTGGGACCACTGGATTTTCATCCCGGGTAGTGCGTTCACGGTCCTGCAGCTTCGCAGGGGGGCCCCAGAGGGGGTAACACATCTGTAGATTTCCGTCGAGGTTTGTTCTTGTGAGGGCTCTGGCGCAGGGTTCTCTCTGTAGTGTCGAGCTGTTGTCCCCAGGCCAGAGGGGTGTAAAGCAAGGTGCGTCGGAGTTGCCTGCGTATTCGTCCAACGTGAAGGTACGTGGTCGAGGTGCAAAATGGGGACACCTAGCATGCTCCTGGACGTACACTTGGCACGTGGTTTCGCATGCGTAGGCGCCACATGGGGGTATTCGATATGCGCCTGGCACGTGTCCTCGACTTGCAGACGAAGGCCCAGAGGGGGTCGGGATCCAACACGCGTGGGACACATGTGTCCTCACAACTTTTTTTTCCCGGTAAAGGTTCCAGCCGCCTAGGGTTCTCTTTCAGCTCAAGCTCAATATCTCTACCGAGATCCAGTTTCGCGCGAGCTCCAGCCCCAGTTCCAGCCCCAGCTCCTGACCCATATCCAGACCTAGCTCTTGCTCCAATTGAGCTCCAGCTCCAGTCCAGCTCCAGCTCTAGCTCCGGCCTTGCGTCTTCTCAGATGCCATCCTGCTCAGGCTATGCCTCTTGCCCAAACTGCATGTTCTACATTGATTACCTCAGGCCTCGTAGCTTATATAGTTCTGTTTAGATTGGGTTACCCAGGTCATCGCCCAGGCGGAATATCCCTGTTAGCATATCCCAAGTCATAACACTGGACAGCAGCGTTTGGGAAGCACGCGTTGCGTAAAACACGGCACGTGTTTGCCCGCATGTGGTTTTCGTGTGCTTACGCTTCGGACGGTCAAGCGTACTTCAGAGCGTTCATTGAATTGCATTAGTCGTTTGTTCGGACCGGATTGTGTGCCCAATGTCGCTTCGTAATTGCGCGCGAGGCATTTCAGCACGCGCAAGATAAAGATGTTGGTCTTGGACGAGGCAGACGAGATGTTGAACAGGGGGTTCAAGGAACAGGTTTGCGGGGCGCGCGTGCTCCATTCGATGCCGCGCATACGACTCAATCAGCCCAAGGCATGAACCAGACATTACCCTTGTTGGTGCGATTTCTGAGAGAACAGATGTTCTGCTGATTGTTGATTGTGGTGTCCTCTTGTGACTGGAGCGCGCAATCTTTGTAGAATCCCAGGGCTCGGTTTGAGCCGCCAGTGAGATATCTCTGCAGAGCCTGATGGGTACCTCCGAACTGCTCTGTTAACAATGTGTTCGGGTTGCTGTAGCTGCCGATGTAGACTTTAGAAAGGTTCCCGATCGTCACTGGCGCATAGTCGTGGGCTCCCGTCGCCTCTTGGCGTCTTGCATGTGCTGTTGTTCCAACCGTGCCCGTCTAGCGAATCGTTCTGGGTGTGCTCGTTCTGTGTTTCTTGAGGTCGGGTTTTTGACGCCATGCCCCAACCGTAGGCGGTTCCACGGGGCAGTATTCCTTCCTCATGTTCCTCCATCGTCCGCATGTCTCCTCCCCATCCTCCTCCTCCTTCTCCTTATTCCACCTATTTGACCTCGGCCGCGGACCTTCTTCTCGCTTCTCTTCCCTCCCTCATCCCATGGCCTCCCCCTCCTCCTCAATGTCGCGGTACAGCATGGCGGTTCCAGTGGACGCGGCTCGGGAGCCCACGGCTTCAGATTCGGGACATCGTGATCCCCACCCACTCGTTCTCTGCCATTCCCTCTCCTCCGTCGTCCCCCAAGAAGGGGGGAGGCGTGAAGAAGAAGGGGGAGGCGGAGCAGGATAAGACGCAGGAGGGGGAGGAGGCAAGGAAGAGCCAGGCACACATGAGTGCCATTACCACACCTGCTTTGCCGCTCCGAGAAGTCATGACTCACTGTGGCATGGTGGAGGCATTGCCCGATGACGGGGGTCTGGCTGGAGGCATGGTGGAGTTCCTCCCTGTTCCTGCGGTCCGTGGGCTCGGCACTTGTGCCTGGCGAGGGCAAGCGGGACGTAATCCACCGTGACAAAACACGTGAGAGTATAATATAAGAGCCGTTGCAATACCATACAGAATACGGTGTACAGCTTACTAATGCTTGCTCGAAGACACCTACGGCGAATCACCGCCGAGCCCTGCCTTTGGAAAATCCCCATGCGGCCAAACGTTGGGTCGGAGTCTGGCCAAGCTATTGGACTACGTGCTCCCCCTGCCGTCGTGGGACCTCGTGAGGGAACAGTTGGGAGAGCAACAGGAAGGAGGAGGCGGAGACGAGGATGAGGAGGAGTTGGAGGCGGATCAGTGCAAACGATATTGCACTGATCCGCCTCCTCCTCCTCGTCCTCTTCGTCTGCAATCAACCCTCCCTCCGAGTTCCCTCTGGCATATGCCTCTAATTGGGTTCATTTCGTTGAGGGAAGTGTCCCGTTGGCAGACAACCGTTTGACATTGCTGAATTGTGCCAGAACTCCGCCTGGTGACTTCAGTGCCGCGAATCACCGTTACTGTTGCGTCTTGGTGATCCTGAACAGCGCCAGAACACCATTCCTGGGGACAGTCCGCCACCTAAAACACCGTTTCTGGGATGCCAGCCGTGTTACTCCTTGAAGTTGTCATAAGTTCTTGAAAACGAATGTGCGTGGCGCGAAGGCGAGAGCCACACTTTGTGAAGGAGCCGCCCTCCATCAGCGAAGCTCTTGCAATTGTTAAAGTGCGCGGCGCTGAGGCGAGGGCCACTTTTTGGAAAGGACCGCCTTCCCATCCATGAAACGCTTGCATGTGTTTACGACGAATGTGCGCGGCGCTAGGAAGTGAACCATGTTTTGAAAACAGCCTACCCTCCATCTGTGAAGCTCTTGCATTCGTTTCAGAACAGTGTGATCGGCGCTAGGGCGATCGCCACGTTTTGAACACGGCCCACCTTTCATCATCCGTGAGGCTTAAAACAATAAGCATCAGGACCGCACATAGTGAGAACATACGCGCGACCCGCCCTATCGACACGCCTCTGGGTGCGACAGGTAAGTATTTACTATCAAATTGAATATGTGTCATGGTGGTGAAAGGGATTTGTGCCATGCGTCTGTAGTAGGTAGTCCTACTGCACTGTTTTTGGCAATGGCTGCTGCGGCCCGCCTCATCTCGATGTGCGTGAGCTTCTTCCTGCCGTCCCTCAGCTTGGGGTCATTGGGCGGTAGCTCCCAGTCGTGCATCCTAGTGGCGTAGATACTCCTCATGGGCATGACGTTGCTGATGGTGTTGGCAATGTGGTCGTTGTGGCTCTGGGTTTCCTTCTTCTTGATATGCTTTCGCCATCAGGTTGGAACTTTGTCTTGCCCTTGCCCTTGCCCTTCTTGGGCTTCTCCTTGCCTTTCGAGGTCCTGTTGTCGGGCTCGATGTCGTCCTTCGCGGTGCTGTTGTTGCTGTTGCTGTTTTGGCTGTAGCTGTGGCCCCGATTCTTGTCGGGGTGCTCCTTGGCCCACTGGTCCGTCCAGTTGTGGTTCTTCCAACGCGCGAGACCCGCTCAAATTGCCGGTGTTGTGGATCTCGGCGTAGTTGGCCTATTTCGTGGGCGGCTCGATGTTGACCTCCACGGTGGCAGTGGCGTTCCCGATCTACTCGCAGTTGGATTCCATGACTTCGCCATGGTTGAAGCTTGAAGTGGATGTCGCGGTGGCTGCTGTGCGCTGTGGTGTCACTGTAGTAGCTGGCGTGCTAAGTCGAGCTCGTGGTGGGGGTGCTGGTCGAGTCGGTCACGTGCTGATGCCACTCGTAAGAGGGTGCGTGCTGCGGATCTCGTTTCCCGTTCCCTGCGATGCCAGGCAGGGAGGTACGTCGACGTGGTCGTCGTGTGCTGGATGGTGTGGGCGTCAGATGTCCAGATGTCGTCGTCGAAGCCGATGTGGTGCTTGTCCGAAACGGCCCTGCAAGTGGTGCTGGGCAGACGAAAGGGCTGTCCAGGATGTAGTGTGGTCGGAGACTGTCTCTTCACCTGAGGTCCCTGCGGAACCTGCGCTCGGGCATGTAAACAGTGAGAGAGAATCAGGGATGTGAATTTACTGCGGGGAAGGATGTAATCTGTGAAGAATGAAGGGAGCACTGGTTCGCGTGGCCGTTCGGTCGGCGCACTGCAACTTACACTCCCCAAACGCTTGGCGGTTCGTGGCTTCCTCCTCCCCCTCTTCCTCCTCCTCCTCCTCCTCCTCCTCCTCCTCCTCCTCCTCCTCCTCCTCCTCCTCCTCGCGCGTTGCGCACGGGCGCGCTCAGATTTCGGGAGGGACGGCGCAGGTTCACCAGTCCGACACATATCCCCAGCTCGGTGCCGATCGCAAGGATGCCCTCAGTTTCTGAGGGCACATCCCTACGATTGTCACCGCCTTGGGCTTGCCGATCTCAGGGATAGGGATCAGTTCGAGGCCGGTGACAGGTGTACGACATCTACCGGTACCTGCCGCCCTCCACGCAGGTCGTTCTCGTCTCCGCGACCATGCCCCACGAGGCGCGGCCCGAGCACTCTCGCTGGGATCTGGAGCAGCGTGAGGGGGGAGAGGCTTAGGATCGAGGTGCGAGGCTTGAGGTGCGAGGTTTTCGGGCGGTGTCGTAGCATTAAGTCGGGCCTGTCCCCCTACAGGGGGATGTTTGACGAAAAATTGTAAATACCCCAGAAATGACCCAAAATGGTCAAACAATGCTATAAAAATAGTCCCCAGACTATTTTTGGATTATTTTTGGATTATGTTTGATTTTTCCGTACCCTAGGCTCTGCCTAGAAGGGTTCTTATTCTGTGTGCTTAAAGGGCCGGGCAGTGGGGCACGCCCCGGGCGGTTCCCCCGGCATCCGCCCCGCAGTTCCCCCAGTGACGTTCCCTTAGCTTCGCGTGGTTATCTCATCTTAGCTTAGCTTATGTCATCTTACCTTAGCCTAGCTTCATATTACCTCAGTTTTATCTTAGCTTAGCTTACCTTCATCTTAGCTTCGCTGAGCTTTAGCATAGCAGAGCACATCATAGCATACCATAGCGTAGCATAGCATAGCGCAGCACATCATATCATAGCATAGCCCAGCATAGCATAGCATAGCACATTATATCAGATCAGCGCATTGCATAGCGCAGCACAGCACAGCACATCATAGCACAGCGCAGCATAGCATAGCATAGCATAGCATAGCATATCATAGCATAGCGCAGCATAACATAGCATGGCATAGCATAGCATAGCGCAGCATAGCAACTAATGCTGTTTCCCTAGGGGCTCCAACTTCTAGGTAGGGTCGCACTGGGGTAATTTTATAAACAAAGAAACATCGTCGAAAATCCCCCTGTAGGGGGGACAGGCCCGACTTACGCCCCGGGGTGCGTCCTGGCGGCTGCGCCTCGCCGGGAGCGCCCTGGCGGGTGCCCAGGTCCTCCCAGACGGCAGCCGGAGAGCCGAGCTGTGGCCCGAACACCAGGGGGCAGCGTTGGGGGGGGTATAGGCTCGGGGGAGGAGGCGTCGACCCCACATTTAGGTCGGGCCTCTCCCCCCCCCCTACAGGGGGATTTTCGGCGAAAAATTATACAACAAACAAAAAATCAAAAATATGCCAAACAGGTTCAAACACATACACAAAAAAAACAGTCCCCATACTATTTTTTATGGTATGTTTTAGACTATTTGGGAGTTGTTTCTGGTATTTTTGATTTTTCGCCGAAATACCCGTGGTAGGGGGACAGACCCGACTTAACACCAGGGGGCAACGTTGAGGGGGTATAGGCTCGGGGGAGGACGCGTCGACCGCAAATCGCTCGCTCATCTCCGATAGGGTTAAGTCGGGCGCGTCCCCCTGCAGGGAGAGCTTCGACGACAAACGAAAAGTACCCAAGAAGTACCCCCAAAAGGTCAAAAATACTCAAAAAGTAATCCCCAGACTATTTCTGTATCATTTTTGGACTATTTTGGGGGGCATTTTTTATTTTTCGTCGAAAATCCCCCTGTAGGGGGACAGGCCCGACCTAAGGTCACAGGCTCGGGGGAGAACGCGTCGACCCCAAATCGCTCGCTCGTCTCCGATCGGGGCCCGCTGGCCCACTCCGCCCAGGAGCGCGCGGTTTCGCCAGCCCCGCGAGGGCCTGTCGCCTCGGGGGGCAGCGATAGGGGGGGGGCTGAAGTGTCTCACAGCTTGCCTCAGGCTTCCCTTATGTTTTCGACCGGAAATCGAAGGTTAACTTATGGAGAAAAGGGGCCTGAAGAAGGAACCCTTTTCGTTGGGGAGGGGCTCCGCGTTCCTCAAGTGCTGCACGGCTTGCCTCAGGCTTCCCTTATGTTTTCGACCGGAAATCGAAGGTTAACTTATGGAAAAAAGGGGCCTCCTTCCTTATTTCGGGTTCCTTCGGTCAACGCCTCGACTGCACGGGGGGGGGGGCAGGCATGCGACCCCCAATCGCCCACTGATCGCCGACAGGGGCCCGGTGGCCCCAACCCGGCCCAGAAAGTTGCGGATTCACTATCGGGGGCCTATCGCCGATCTATCACCGATGTATCGCCGATTCCAGGTCGATGTTCCCCCCCCTATGCCAGCCCCCCCTTTTCGCTGCCAAGCATCACCGTTCCCTCGGCGACGTGTCGTCGATTCCAGGTCGATGCTTTCCCCCCTGAGCAGGTCCCCCCGTAACGCTGCCTCTCACATGAGGTGCCTGGAGGGCAGCCACAGAGTAATACCTGTACGACCTCCCTTCAGGTGTATAGATATTTGGGGGAGGAACCAACATCTCACCCAATCGATCTCACTATCGATCTTACTATCGATATTACCATCGATCTCACTACAGGTCTCACCATCGATCTTATGTTGCATCTCACGATCGATCTCACCATCGATCCCAAGGTCGATCTCACTATTGATCTCATGATCGATCTCACTATCGATCTCACAGTCGGTTTCACTAACGATCTCACTAACAACATCACAATGGATCTCACGACGGGAGACTGACGGGACACAACTGGGGCACACCCACGGGGCATCACGATCGAGCTAGTTCGATCCATCTCACTATCGCTCTCACGACCGATCTCACGATCGATATCGCAGTCGATCTCACTATCCCTCTCACCGTCGACCTCACTCTCGATCTCGCTATTGGTATCACAATCAATCTCACTCCATCGATCTCGCTCGATCGATCTCACAATCGATCTCACTATCGATCACACGATCTATCTCACTATCGATCTCACAATCGACATTACTATCGCTCTCACTACCACTTTCATTACACATATATATATATATACATATATATATATATATATATATATGATACAGAAGGGGGCACCGACGCGACACCGACGGGACACCACGGGTCACCGCGGGACACCACGGGACACAATGGGACACCATGAGCAGACCACGGCGGGACCCCTGGCCACCGCCGCTTATCTCGGGGGCGGGGCGGTCCTTTGTCCCAGCGGCGCCCTAGCCAGAGGAGGAATTGTCCTTCTCGCCCGCCCACGCAGCTTCGCCTCGCACGGACGGCCCGAACACGAAAACGAAACCGATTTCCCGCTGGGGGACTCTCCGCTTAACTGCGATCTCACCCCCGTACCTCCGACAGCAGCGTTTGTTTAGGCCTCCACCTCCCCCTCCTTCTCCTCCTCCTCCTCCTCCTCCTCCTCCTCCTCCTCCTCCGGGCCTCCAGGTACGCCACATCGGCGCGCCCGAAAGTACGTGCACGTGCGTGTGAGTGGAAATCTGGACCGCCCACCGACGAGAGCTCGGTGGTAAGCGATCTGGGCGCGCCCCGCTCCAGCACTCGCTGCGTTGGATCAACTGGTCGGGAAGGGGCAGAGTGTGTGTGTGTGTATGGAGGGGCCCAGTTACTCCAACTAGCCTGACTCCGCCGCGCTGCTGTGCGCGATGCCGCGACGTCAACAGGTGTGTGTGTGTGTGAATGGAGGGGCGCAAACTCTTGAATGCAGCTGGTTCTCTTCAATGCAGCTGGTTCAGGGCTGGTCCTGGCTCCATTGCCAGTGAGTTTCGTCGGCACGTGGTCGTGCCTCGAGGCGCCCGCCAAAGAGCACCGCGTGCCGATGATTTGCAAGCCCTCCCTGCGTTACGTGGGGGTCGTTGGTTAAGGAATGTGCCCAGGAGGCGCCAGATCGTCGAGGACTCCTTAGCTGATGAGGCCGGCTGTGATACCCATGGCCAATCCACGATTGGATTTCCCTTGCCTTCCATGCACCGGATTTCTTATCCAGTAATTCCTTATGCAATGCCTTCACCGTACCCCTCTTTCGCCTGTCCCGATACCCAAAGACCGCCACGAGGGCGCGATGTTCTTCGTGATTCGCGGCTCGCCACTCTTCATCCTCTTCCTCACCCTCACCCCCTCGTCCTCCTCTTCTCCCCCTGGGGGTGCGGCGCGAGAGTGCAAAGTTGTTCGTGCCTCGCGCAGCGCGAGGCGCGAACATAACTGCCCATGGATGCCCACACGCAGCACACCGTGCTCCTCTCTGCGTTCGCCCAGGCCTCGGGCCTACTACGACCGATCTGTGTCAGAAGGTTGCCCAGTGCGATCTTAACCAGACGCCGTGTCCTCCCGAGTTAGAGGCAGACTATCCCCCTCCTCCTCCTCCTCCTCTTCATCCTCCTCCTCCTCCTCCTCCTCCCTCCTCCTCCTCCTCCTCCTCCTCCTCCTCCTCCCTCCTCCTCCTCCTCCTCCTCCTCCTCCTCCTCCTCCTCCGCAGGGTCATCCAGAGACCCACCCCGCAACACACTGGCGGTTGGTTACACGAGCTCCGCGCGGAGCACGCTGCGCTCTCGAGCCAGCCCTTCGGACGAGCTCTCCCTTGGGACCGCCGACGATCAGCACAGGCCCCGATGTCCGACTTTCCTGCAGGAAGTGCCTACTGCAACAAATCAAGACTAGTGCTCTCAACCACCCCCCCCCCCCCCGCCATCCCGCTGCCTCGTCATTCCAAGCTGGCTCGACCCGCGAGGATCCTGGGGCCCGAGACGGGGTAGCATTGGTCCGATCCTCCAATCTGAGGATTCTCGTCCTTGCAGGTCCTCGAAATGACCCACAAGTTTATGAACAACCCGTTCCGCGTGCTCGTGAAGCGCGACGAGCTCACCCTCGACGGCATCAAGCAGTTCTTCGTGGCGATCGAGCGGGAGCAGTGGAAGTTCGACACCCTGTGTGACTGGGGCGGGGGGACTAGGCCCAGACTTCTCGAGCGACGTGGGACAGTTTATTGTCGCAGCGACGTGAGGACACGACGAAGCGTCAGAGCACTTGCCGGGCCGACGCCAGGTGAACCACACACGGCAAGAATTGTGTTGTTATGTGGGCATCTGGGGGGCGTTTTCGTGCCACAGGAGGAGAAGAAAGGTAGCGACATCCAATTGGCCCCAGGGAAAAAGTCGGGGTGCTCTCAGGTCCGCGTCGGAAAAAACGGGGGCCAGAAGTCTGCGGGTGGGAGGAGGAATGAAAGGTGGAGGAGGGAAAAGGAAGAGTATATGGACTGATTGGTTTAGCGCTGCAAGCGAAGAACATGCCCAAGGATTACATACGCAAGCGCTCCTCCGCGGCAGAGTACCAGCGAGCCTGTAAGCACGGGCCAATGACTACTCTTTTGTTCACGAGCCTGCTCGGGCGCCATGTTCGGGGGAGCGTAAGACCCGGGTTTGCCAGGACTCGGGTTCGCCATCGTTTTTTGACGACCGCGCCTCGGATTTTGACGAGGAGGAGTTTCGTGGGATGCCTGCAGCGGGAGGCCTCGTCAAAATGCAGGCTCGGCCTCGTCACTTTTTTGACGACCTCGTCGGGGATTTCCGAGTCCCCCGTACCCGGGTCTTACGTTCCCCTGACATGTGTAGCCGCAGGCGCACGATGGCGGCGCCCGACTCCATCGGGCCGACCATCGGGCGTCTCGGGGAGCTGCGCGATTCGCCTCGTGCCGCCAGCACCGCGAACTGGCACGCTGCCCCCGGCGCAACGCACGCCCTGCGGCAGGAGGAGGGCCTGCCCTTGCGCAGGCAGCTGCTCCCTGCACCCTGGGCACGTGCCGCCGAGCACCGCTGTCACTTACTGGCAGTGCCCCCCGACGCGTACGCAGACCACCTCGCCAGGGCCCGCGAAGAAGGCGGCCAGTATGGCACCGTTGCTGACGGGTTCGACCAGTCACTGACCACACACTGTCACTCACTTGCAGCGCTTGCGACGTGCGCCTCTTTCCACCACGCCCCGCCCGCGCGCCCGAAACTCTTCGCCGGGGACGACACGCGGAAGTCCGTCTTCCCCCCCCGCGGGGGAGCTCAGTCTGGGCGCGCATCAAGTAACCTAATGTGCTCCGTGAGGGTATCTCGGGTTTCTTCGCTCTGCGCGCTGCGCGGTGACCCCGCCGCGCAATCTTCAAAAAAGCTGCTTGGTTCGGGGTGCCCTGGCTTTCCCCAAAAAATCGCACCTCGTCGGACGGGCAAGGGCGAGGATAAATCCGTTCCAGAGTGGTTCGGCCGCGGCACCCGATACATCCCCCAGAGCCGCCAGATCTCAGAGATTCTAGACTTATCCTCACCCGAGCGTAACATCGTCCTGGCATTGTCTTACATCGCGTGCGGACGTTCAGGGCTGGGTTTCTTGCAAGGGTCTCGCATTTAGTATCTCCCTGGGGGGTCTGGGGGGGACCCCCCAGGACATGGCCCCCGCCACGAGCGGAAGGCCGGCAGAAGCCGGCAGAAGACAGCCGGAGTCGGCTCTGTTTTGGCAGACGCGTTTCCGGGCCGCACGGACGGCCCCAAGATGGTTTGCAAGATGGTCAAAGAGGGCTGCGAGTCGCCGAAAGATCGGTCCAAGACGTCCAAGATGATCTCAAGACGGCCCAAGAAGCGCCCAGGACGCTCCAAGAGGCCTCCTGGAGGGCCTCCAAGAGGGCCTGGAGAAGCAACATCCATAGATATCCTGAAGATTGTTCAACGTTCTCCGCGTTTCCGCTTTTTCGGCTTCCCGAAGCTCCCAGACAGCCCCAAGGCGTCCTAAGAGGCCCCCAAGAGGGCGCCCTCACGGCCCAAGAAGTTCCCCAGACGGCCCAGGAGGCTTCCGAGACGGCCCAAGAAGGCTCCAGCATCGCCCCAAGAGAAGCCCCAGAGAGGGAGCACAGACCAACATTTCCAGCTTTCCGCCCAAAGGGACCCCCAGGAGGCCCCCAAAAAGCCCCCGCGAGGCCCCAAGAAACGTCCAAGAGGCCCCCAGGAAGCCCCCAAAGGCCCCGAGGACGGGCCCGAGAAGCGTCCAACAGACCCCAAGGAAGCCCCCAGAGGCCCCCAAGAGGGCCCCAAGACTGCCAAAGAGGGCCCCAGGACGGCTGGACACGCCCAGGCAGAGCGTCACAGCGTCAAACGAACACCACGCGAGCCAACGTAATGCGCTCCAGAGGCATCCTCCTCTTTGCTGTTCTCTGCCTCGCAAGTCACGCCCACTTGTTCTCCGAGGTCGGGGCTCGTGGTGATCTCAGGATCTCGCGGCCGCGTCCGCACCGTGGGCCGAACCCGCTCCGCCACCACGGCAGGGAGCCGCTCCGCTCAGGGAGGCGAACGAGCTGACTTTGCCTAGGCGGCGTCCGCGTGCGCGTGTGTTGCCCGGGTGGGCAGCTGCAGTCTCCAGGGGAGTGGCGTCAGAGGAGGAAAGGGTGCCCATACCGCTTAGTACCCTTCCCTCGTCTTTCCCTTTTTGGGCTTCCTTGGGGGCCCCCGTCGCCACCGCCGGATTCGCCGTGAAATCCTGGTCAGAGCGCACCCCGGGAGAGGTCCAGGAATGAGTGGTATCAGAACCTTTTGAAGTCCTGGGAGTGGCCGAGCCACGGCGGGCGCACGCTCCACAGAGGACAAGCCCAGATTGATTGGCGACGGTTTGTGTGGCATCAGGCTGCCTGCGGCAAGTGCGGCACCGCGCTAGCCCAGCATTCTGGGCGGCGACTGTTCCAGGGGACACGGGGGCCGTCACGCGTGACAGCTCGTGCCTCCAGGCTTTGCGGAGCCGTGATGTTGCTGTTTTGTCGCTGCTGCTGATCATGATGACGGTGATGATGTTGCTGCTGCTGTTGATGAGGATGATGCTTATGATGATGATGCTGATGATGGTGATGCTGATGATGATGATGATGATGATGATGAGGAGGAGGAGGATGATGATGATGACGGTGCTGCTGCTGCTGCTGCTGCTGCTGATGATGACCATGATCATGATCATGACCCTATGTGTGATTTCACGGTTTTCATTTGTGCATTTCCGCCGCCGTTCGGGTGCTCAAGGCGCAAGGGCCGGCACAGGTGACGGATATTCCCACCGTGGCAGGGGCGGGTGGTGGATGCGGCCGGCGCTGGGGTAGTCAGCTGCCTGGCGCGCTGCCCTGCCTGCCCAGCACCCCCCGCCGCGGCGGGCTGCAACGTGAGGTTGGTGTGTCCGAGCACTCCTCCCTGCCCAGGACTGCCGACGGTGCTGGGAGGCCCTCAGTGGCAGCAGGCTGCTCCGCCGCCGTCGCCTCCAGTGAGCTGTCCTTCAGTCGAGGCCTGCCCAAGTGAGCAGCTCCGCTCAGGGAGGCGAACGAGCTGTTTCTGCCTAGGCGGCGTCCGCGTGCGCGTGTGTTGCCCGGGTGGGCAGCTGCAGTCTCCAGGTGAGTGGCGTCAGAGGAGGAAAGGGTGCCCATACCGCTTAGTACCCTTCCCTCGTCTTTCCCTTTTTGGGCTTCCTTGGGGGGCCCCCGTCGCCACCGCCGGATTCGCCGTGAAATCCTGGTCAGAGCGCACCCCAGGAGAGGTCCAGGAATGAGTGGTATCAGAACCTTCTGGTGTCCCGGGAGTGGCCCAGCAACGGCGGGCGCACGCTCAACAGAGGACAAGCCCATATTGGTTGGCGACGGTTTGCGCGGCACCGTGCTGGCCCAGCATTCTGGGCGGCGACTGTTCCAGGGGACACGGGGGCCGTCACGCGTGACAGCTCGTGCCTCCAGGCTTTGCGGAGCCGTGATGCTGCTGTTTTGTCGCTGCTGCTGATCATGATGACGGTGATGATGTTGCTGCTGCAGTTGATGAGGATGCTGTTTATGATGATGCTGATGATGGTGATGCTGATGCTGATGCTGATGCTGCTGCTGCTGCTGCTGATGATGATGATGATGATGATGATGATGATGATGATGATGATGATGATGATGATGATGATGATGACGGTGCTGCTGCTGCTGCTGATGATGACCATTATCATGATCATGACCCTATTTGTGATTTCACGGTTTTCATTTGTGCATTTCTGCCGCCGTTCGGGTGCTCAAAGCGCAAGGGCCGGCACAGGTGACGGATATTCCCACCGTGGCAGGGGCGGGTGGTGGATGCGGCCGGCGCTGGGGTAGTCAGCTACCTGGCGCGCTGCCCTGCCTGCCTAGCACCCCCCACCGCGGCGGGCTACAACGTGAGGTTGGTGTGTCCGAGCACTCCTCCCTGCCCAGGACTGCCGACGGTGCTGGGAGGCCCTCAGTGGCAGCAGGCTGCTCCGCCGCCGTCGCCTCCAGTGAGCTGTCCTTCAGTCGAGGCCTGCCCGAGTGAGCAGGCGGGCGAGTGCAGCGGGCTGGGCTTTTCCTTTTTCATCGTGGGCCTGATTGTCAGGGCCGCGGCTACGAGTGTGGTGTCCGTTGCTGCACGAAGGGATTGTCGAGTCACGTCTCGCCGCCGCGTTCCCAGCCTGAGCTTCGAAGCAGGACAAGATGGCGACCACCCAGTGGGTATACGTCTGGTACGTAGGCGAGGACACGTGGCACCATTACCTGAATCTGGGCCGCGTCGCTTTGAGTAGGAGCGACCATGTCATCTACACAGCGGATGCCGACCTGTATATCATTTCCTTGTCGGACAACCCAGACATCCACGCTGCGAGGTTCGGCGCGTATGCGGCCCCGCCCATCGGCATCCGGCGCGCCGACATCTACGCTGTTCGAGCTGAGCCCACCCAGGCGGAGATCCCCCTTGTTGGTGGCCGAGGCCGAGGAGGTCGCGGGCCAGGAGTGTCGGAGGAGGGGGGAGCTCATCGCCGGTGCTGGTGCCCCCCGGCGGCGCCGGGGTCGCCGGCCCAGCGGTGCTGCCCCCCGGCCCCGCCGTGGGACTGCTGCGCGGGCGGCCCCCGCAGACTGGAGCTGCAGTGGCGGCCGCGGGCGCGGCTGGCGCGGCGGCCCCGGCCGAGGGGGCCTGGCGCGTGGCAGCCTGCCGTGGCGAGTATCGGGTGGGAGATGAGGTTGTCGAGCACGTCCCGACGGCATCGCGGGTCGGAGATCAGGACATCCACGTGCTGCCGTCGGGGGAGGGCTTCTTCGGCAGAGTACGTGACGGCTGCCAGCCTCCCTGGGTTCCTCCAACGCGCAGTGGTCGCCGACGCCCGCATCCTCCCCGTCACCCGGAACAAGAGGGGGGGAGGGAGCTGACTTGGTCGGCGATGGTGGAGCTCATTCGGCGAGAGGAGTTCGACGCACCCGACTGGGGCCAGGCCCGCGGACGGCGGACTGGTGCTTGGAGTATATCCTGAATGAGGGGCTTATCCTGAATGAGGGGCTGGGGGTCGAGGGCCATCACGAGCATTTCCGGTCGATCTGCAAGTTGGCCGCGTCGGACTGGGGGTGCAGGAGCATTTCCAGTTGACGTTGCAGATCAAGCAGGCCTTGTGCGTCGACGTGATCGAGACAAAGTTTCGGAGGATGAAGACCATCGAGGTCGCCCATCGTGGCAGGGCCAAGGGCCAGGAGAGCAAAGGGATCGGGGGGAAGCTCACCTGGGAGGAGCAGGCGGCTTTCTCGGGTGTGACCCAGGCCCACGCCGCCACCATGATCCGCCCCGAGCTTGTCGAGCATGCGAGGTCCGAGCTCGAGCGAGAGGGGAAGCCGAACAATAATCTGCGTCTGGCGCGCGAGGAGCGCGAAGCCTTGGCGCAAACGTGAGTAAGCCAGGACCGGCCGCTAGGGATAGCAGGTGCTCAGACGGCCAACACCCCACCTGCAGGGGGCCGCCCGCCCCGTCGGCCCCGCGCGCCGCCGCCCCAGGTCGACGCGTTCCTCGTGGCGCTCTGCCCGTGCCTTACCCCTCATGATCTTCAGCGTCAGCGAGGGGAAGGCCTGGGACCTGTCAGCCGCGGTGTTCAGTAACGCCTGCGTCGGCGAGCTAGTTCTGAGAGGGACGTGGCCCGGGCCGTGGATGCATTGATTTGGTTGAACGATCCGTCTCGTCGAGTTGGAGGTGGCCGTCATTTTCCAGCGGGTGCTCTGTCACTCGCCCAGCGCCAGTGCTTCATGCACATCCAGAGCTCTGTGGAGTATCTTGGCGCGCCTCCGCGAGATCTGTCTCCCGCAGAAGCGCTTCGGCAGCTTCGCGCGGCCGGGGGCGGCCGCGGCGTCGAGGAGTCGCCCATCGGAAGCTATGACCCCGCACTCGTCTCCTTGCCGGACGGAGCTGCGCCGCCGGCGCCGCTCGCAGACGCGTGGGGCGATGGTGGGATATCCAAGGTCGAGCTCTTCATTCTAAGGAACGTCTGCCGGCCGACGTCGCGACCGCTCGACTCGAGAGCTGCTCCGTCGAGACTCTTTACCCCGATGCCCGGCTCAGGTGTGCACGAGACTAGGGGGGTTTCGTGCGTGACCTACATCACTGCAAGCTGGTGGGCCACTCACTCGAGGACGGCGTGAGAGTTGATGCATTTGTTGTAAAGAAGGGGGGTCGGCTTCGCTTGGTGATCGACTGCAGGCGCAGCAGCGTTGTCTTCGCCGACCGCTCCCCCGTCGCCCTGCCCGCGGGGGGCTCCTTCGCGGGGCTCGAGCTCGACGACGCAGGGGGCATCCTCGCCGTCGAGGGCGTCGACCTGAAGGGCGCCTTCTGCCCGAGCAGCCCAGGCGCATCTTCGCGATGCGGCCCGCTCTGGCGGGCGCCGCGGGGGTGTCCGAGATCGATGGTCGCAAGGTCGCCCCGTCGGTCAAGGTCTACCCCAGGTTGCCAGGCTGCGGGCGGCGCCGACGGGGTGGTCGCGGGCCCCGTGGAGGCGCCGGCCCACCCTGGAGCCCGTGTCCGAGCACGTCGGCTGTCCCGAGCCTCAGCGACTTCATGGCAGTCGGGCAGTCGGCGTGCCCCCAGTCTCTCCGAGTTCAGTCGCATCCAGTGCGCGGGCAACTTCGCGGGTCTCGGCGTCGACTGCGAGGCCGTCCGCGCGGCGGTCTCGCGGGTGGCGGCCGAGCTGGAGCGCCGCGGCCTCGCGGCGACGATTGGGGGCCACGCGGGGGAGAGCGGGGGCACCTACAGCGTCCTGGGCTGGGACATCGGGCCCGGGGAGGCTCTCGGCCTTCTGGGCGCGGCCGTGGCGGGCCCGTCTCGCGATCAGGCGCCTGCTGCGCCGCGGCCGCTGTCGCGGGTCTGACGTGGAGAGGGTGATGGGTCATCTCATCTTCACCGCCTCGCCCTGAGTCTCGGGGGCGTGCCGGGCGACCTGGTCGGCCAGCGCGGCGAGGTCCGTGGGCCGTTCCTGCGAGCGCCGGCGATTCGGGCGCGCCGAGAGGCCCCCTCCGCGTCGACGCGCCCAGGTGGCCAGCCAGCGAGCGTTGGGCCATGCCGTCGCCGCCGAGGTGGGAGACCCCGCCACTGACGGCAAGAAGATTCGTGTCGTCGGAGATTCCCCCACGGCCGTCGCCGCCTCTTCCTGCGCGCGAGCTCACTCTCACGCGATGCTTCGGATCATGCAGCGTATCTCCGCCTTGTCTCTGGCATCTGGGTCCTATATGTGCGCGGGGTGGGCCCCTGCGGAGTTCGACGTCGCCGATGGGCCCCCACGGGGAAAAAGGGTCTCTTACGAAGCCTTCGGAGGTCATCATGGAGCCCAAGCCCTCGCCCATGCACAGGGCCCCTCAGGTCGGGCCCATCAAGGCCAGCACGTGCGTCCCAGGTTACAAGCGCGACATCGTCAGTGACGCGCGCAACATAATCGGCCAGCACGTTCCCACAAATAAGCACGACCACATCAGTGGCAATCAGACGCCGATGACACGCACGACGCCAACGGCAAGCACGACGTGATAGACAAGCACGACATCATCAGTGGCAAGCACGACACTAGTGACGAGCACGACATTGCAGGCAAGCGCGGCAGCAGTAGCAAGCACGACATCCTCTGTGGCACGACCAACATCAGTAAGCACGGCACGGTCGGGAGCCATTGCAGCGAGGTTGCACGCGGCATGCAGAGCACTCTGGGGCCGTCGCTCTTTTCGTCGCGTCGCTGTTTTGGTTCGGACTCTTCGGCCGCGCCTCCGGCGGCACCGAGAGGATTGGCGGCTCTTTGTCGTCCGAGCCTGGCGCCAGGGCATGCTCGGGCGCTCTCGAGTGCGGAGCCGCTCGCCGCGGTCCTGGCCCACGTCGACCCCGGCAGCCTCGCGACTGGACCTCCCGGTCTTGCAGGGCCGCCGAGCGCCTCGGGAGGGCCCAGGCGCCGCGGCCGCGGCGTCGGGCATCGTGCAGGGCGTGAAGCGCAGGCCAGCGGCGGCCGCGGGGCGGGCTCAGACTCCGCAGGAGCGGGCCGCCGAGGTCCAGCCGCCCGCGGGCGTCCAGGTGCTGCGCGCGGCTGCGGTGCGGACCGCGTGCGGCCGAGAGGCCCACCTTGTGCTGCACGACCTTTTCGCGTCCTGGGCCGGGGGCCCAGCCCTCGGCCCTCGGGGCGGCCGCGCAGGCCGACCCTGCGGCGGCGGGGTACCTGCGCGTGATGTTCAGCGAGGGGGGGCACCTCACCTACGCCGACCGCCTCATCGCCGCCGCGGTCAGCTCCGTCTCCCGAGGGCGAAGCAGGCGGCGGCGGGCTGGAAGAACCTGGTCCCGCCGCAGAGTCGGCAGGCGCTCCGGATCGAGGTCGTCTTCCTATTGTCACCTGGCTGCTGCTGCAGAGGTGCTACGAGGCCGCCCTGGCTGCATGGCTGCCGTTCGAGATCTACGGCCGCCCAGGCGAGATCCACATGCAGAGGGCGGTTGACCTCGTCCCGCCGCTGGCGTCGCGGGGGCCAGCCCACCGCTTCCGGAGCCTGACTCTTCGCGCTGCCGAGGTGGGCGCGGTCTCCAAGACGAACGAGTTCGACAACGCTGTGCGGCTCGACCTCCCGCGCCGTCGTCGGCGACTGGATGCTGGCGCGCCGCTGGGGCGAGGGCTGGAGGGCCACGGCGGTGGCTCGCGAGGGAGGGGCCGCCGGCTTGCCCGGCTCTCTCTTCCGCTTCTCGTCCGCCGACGTGTCGAGGGCGTTCAAGAGGGCGGCGGCCGCGCTGGGGCTCGAGCGCATCGGTGCACCTCTACCAGCTTCGTCATGCGGGGCCATCGCACGACTCAGCCGCCCCCTGCCGGACCTTGGAAGAAATGCGCCGCCGTGGCCGATGGCGGACATGGAGCAGCGCGCGCAGCTACGAGAAGGGAAGCCGTCTCACCGAGGTCCTGCATCGGCTTCCTCTCGATCTCCAGCGACATGGAGGTGCGTGCGTGGAGAGATTGCGCCAGCCCGCGTTCGAGGTGCCCTCTCCTTTGCCGCAGCTGGCCTGAAGGCCCGGGTGATATTCGAACTGTTCTCAGGGCACGGAGGTTTCGCCCGTGCTGCTGGTGCCATGGGCTTCTGGGCCCTTGTTTGGGACGTGTCGCTCGGCGAACAGTATGATCTGACCCGCTCAGAGAATCGTCTCAGAATCACGTCGTGGCTCCGGGCATGTTTGCTGCTTGGATGGCACGCAGGTGTGCCATGTAACACCCTCACACGAGCGAGAGGCTATGGTGTTGGTCCCCCGGCGGTGCGATTTGACGAGCACCTACTCGATCTTTCCAACCTTTCGTTCAAACTGCAGGCCCAAGTCGGTGCGTCCAATTGCCTTAACAAATTCGTTGCTGCCCTCGCTCGGGCCTCTTGAGCCTCTGGAGTCCTGTGGTCTGTGGAGAACCCCAAGACATCCAGGCTCTGGTTTCTGCCAGATTTTAGGCCCCTGGCGCGCCGTCGTGCTCTTGAAGTCGTCGTCACATCGATGTGTATGTGGTGTACGCCGTGGCGAAAGGACACTGGCCTCCTTCTGGGGTTGTTGGATGCTACTCCCTGGCAAGGCTCATGCGAACGGCACCATGTGGAATTCAGGTGGAGCTCCCTTTGGGGCACAAGACGTGTGAGGGGTGTGCCGAAATGGTCGACTGATGCGGAGAGCAGAAGTTAGCATGGGGGAGGAGGAGGGAACAGAAGAAGACAAGGAGAGGAGACGCGGGGTTCGTATATATATATATATAAAAATATATAACAATAAATAAACAAAAAACGAGGGCCCACCTCCACAGGACGTTTGGGAACAAGCCAGCCTCATCCTCCGAAACATGTACAATGCTTATCGCACATGATTTCAGCGCTAAGGCGAGAGTTCCCTGTTTTAGAGGAGTCGGCTTCATCCTGGAAATTGGCGTGCGTTTTAGACGGGTGCTCGTCGTGCCAGGGCGAAAACGAACCGGGCTTCATCTTTGAATCTGCTGCAGTTGCTTGAGACGGATGTTTGCGACGCTCACACGGGAGCAACATTGCGAAAAACACCCGGCCTCCGTCTTTAAAGTTGTTGAGACTGATTCGCTGCAGGATCGCAGATTGCGCGGAGGTCTCAAGCGAAACGCCCAGCACAGCCTACGGAAACGCTTGCTGTTGCAACAAAGGAGAGTGATCTATAAGGAGAAGCATGGGCGACGATAATTTCGAGGAGGATGAGAGGACGGAGGAGAAAGTACAAGGAGGTATGAGGACGAGGACAAGGAAGGAGGAGGATCAGGAGGAGGAGGAGGAGGCAGCGAAGATGACCAACGCCAAGGGCGGATGAAGTGGAGTAGTAGGACTGGGAGGGAGTGTGAGGAGAAGGACCTTGAGGAGGAGGAGGAGGAAGATGAGGAGGAGGAGGAGATAGATTTCATTGGATTTCAAAGGGAATGAGGCAGAGGAGGGATGGGGAGAGAGCGTGAGGAGGTGGATTAGAAGGATGGGAAGTGGGAGGAGAGGAGGAGAAGTGATAAGGAGGGAAGAAGACTGAGCAGGAGGAGGAGGAGCAGGAGGAGGAGGAGGAGGGGAGATGAGACGAATAAGGGGGAGAATGGAGAGATTGCAGAGGAGGACTGGAGAAACGCATGATGATTCTGAAGGGAGAGGGTGCATGGAGGAAGTTGTGGTCGAGGAGGAGGGTGAGGAGGAGGCTGGGCTAGGCAGGATGATGCTGGAGGTGGAGGGCACAGGAGGCGGAGGATGAGGAGGAGGATGACGATGAGGAAAAGGACCAGGGAGGAGGTGATGCAGAAGAGGGAGGTGGAGAGTGGTGAAGATGAGGAGGAGGGAGGAGGATGAGGACGAGGAGTAGGGATGAGGGAGGGGGGGCAAGCAGCAGCAGGAGACAAGGGGCCAGGTTTGGCTGTTGGGCCGAGGGCGTTGGCAGGCGATCTGTACGATACCCTGACCATCACCCAGGCGGTCATCTTTTGCAACACGAAGCAGAAGGTGTTCCACTGGCGCTTTCCTCCTGCTGCCTGTCTACATTCAATTCCTCATTCTCGTCCTGTTCCTTCTCTTGCTTTTCGTCCTCCTTTCACCCTCGACTTCCTCCCACGGCTACGAGCACAAAAAGAGAAACGCCAATCAACTCCCGAAGGTCCGCACGGGTTTCTCCGCCCACCACTGGGAACCCAACTCCCCGCACTCCTTCCCACGGCCGCCAGGAGTACGGATCGACGCCGAGCGAGGGGAGGCAGTGCGAAGGGGAGAAGGCCCTCTCAGAGGGCGGCGGGGCTCAGAAGGCCTCCGGCTCTCTGAGAACTCGCCTGCGTCTTCGGGGAAGTTTTGGAAACTTTCTCGGCAGGCCGGGGGCCTCCCGAGCCTTCTGACTTCCCCCCCTCGCTCGCCTCCGAGTGGAAATCAGGAGGGAAAGAAACACACAGACACAATGAATCGTCGAATCCCAGAAAATATGGGAAAATATGGGAGGTGGGGGGGAAGACAAAAACCCCGAAAATATAGGAAGATATGGGGAATCCTTTTATTTGTGTGTGTTTATTTGTGTGTCCCAGGGCCCCTTCAGGAAAGAGGGGGCCAGCGCCGACCCGATAAGGCTCGCGCGGGCCTCTGGAGGCTCACGCTCGGGAACTTTGTGGCTCGGGGTGTCGCGCAGCCGGCTCTGGCCTGCCACGCTCCGGCGCGACACGCCATCCGCGTCCCGGTCCCCAAGCGTCAATTTGGCGGCGCGCAGAAGTTGGGGGCAGAGCGAAGGGGGCAGGCTTCTTAGAAGCACCGCTGCTTCTCAGAAGGCGCGTGCCTTGTCTGCAGACACAGGGCTGGCGCCTTCTGAGAAGCAGCCTCCTTCCAAGAAGCCTTCCCCCCTTGCCCTGTTCGCTTTTGAGCGCCGCCAGCGAGCGTCAACGTCCCGAGCTTTTCTGGGACTCCCGCCTCGCGGAGCGAAGCGACGCGCTGTCCGTTTGCAGGGCACAGCGTGTCGCAGGGGCCGCTGCCGCAACACGCAGAGCAAAGTCCCTGGCATGCCTCGCTTACCCCATCTTGTTGACCCTCGAGCTGCGCCGAAGTGCACTGTGCTTAGGATGTCGGGTTTTTCGAGACTTGGGCAGGCGGCAGGTCGGGTCGCGGCCGCAAGCTGCAGGCCTCCTCTCGAGCGCGCTGCGAGTCTTGGAGGGTGGCCCAGGCCAGAGGGACGCGGCTCCGCCAGCTCTTCGTCGACCTGACAAGGAAGCCCCTTTATTGGGGAGGAGGAGGAGGGGGAGGAGGAGGAGGGCGAGGAGGAGGAGGAGGAGGAGGAGGAGGAGGAGGAGGAGGAGGAGGAGGAGGAGGAGGAGGAAGCCCTTCGAAGTCCCTGGCCTGCTTTTATTATTGTGTGCGTTTTTCTAGGCCTTCCAGGTAGGGTCAGAGTAGATGGGGTCGGAGGATCGCGCCGCATCACCGATGCATCGGCGATGCGGCTCGATGTTGATTCCGATGCTCTCCACGCCGACGTCGCCGATGCATGGCCGACATTGCGGACGCATCGCTGGTTCATCGGTGATGCATCGGCGATACGGCGGGATCCCCCGACCCCATAGACTCGGACCGCATTTGTGAGCCTTCTCGTGCTGGAGATACAGCAGCATTATGACGGGCTTCTGTTTGCGCTGTGGAAACGCAGTTTCAGGGTTGCTCCCCAATCGGGGTCGTTCCAAGTCAGCCGGTGTCGGAGCACAGATTCCCGGTTCTGGTGCGCGAGGAGGAGCACAGGCGGACGCACGAAGGTGAGAAGGAAGCCTTGGCATCCCACACCGCATCTCAAGGCGCATCGAGCTTGCTGGGAGGACGGGCCTTTCCCGCAAGTCGGATACTGGGAGCAGGTGCGTGGACCGCTCTCGGCGACGGAACTATCTTGTGGCCTTCGGCCCAGTGCAGAGGACCCGCGGCCTCCTGGACGCCCCACGCGGTCTCGTGAGAGGCCCCCCCCTTGTGTGCCTTCTTCGAGGCCTCCTGGGAGCCTTCGGGGGGCTTCCTGAGGCTTCCTGGGAGCCTCCCGGGCGCCTGCTCGGGGCATGCTGGCGGTTTCAAAGGCCAAGCGGGGGGGAGGGAGAGCGCCCCTCGAGCCCCTTCGAATTCCCCCCCCCTGTGGGCCCCTCTTACTGGACGCCCAGAGGCGATCCCCGGGGAGCTTAGCTTAGGTGCTCGGAGTGGCCCTGATGCGATCTTGGGGGGACTCTTGAGCCGTCTTCGACGCTCGCGCGACCGAAAGGGCGTCAATGTGAACATCATCCAAACACTTAATGGGTTGTCCTCCGCCTCCCCTCTCCTCTTCTCGCACGTGCTGTTTTACTTCCCCACATCCTAAGTGGGGTCCTTGTTTTCTAAGCACACCCTCCGCGCAGGATCTCCTCACCCCTCTCCTTCTCACTCATCACACTCATCATCATCATTCATCATCGCATCTCCTCGTCACTCACACATGCCATGCACTCACATATCATCGCAAACATCATCATCATCACATATCCTCCTCACACACACGCACACACACTCACTCACTCATTCGCACTCACTCTCCTCCTCACTCATCACACTCATCATCGTCATAATCAGCATCACCATCATCACTTCTTTTCCTCACTCACACATTCACTCATTGATCATCATCATCACCCAGTCATTCATCACTTCGTACTTCGTCAACAATCACTGAGTCACTCATCACTTCGTCAACAATCACTCCCTAGCTTGAATATGGAGGAAGCATCAAGCAGGAGCCTCGTCTGTGAGCGAATTGAGAGGAAGTCTCAGGCGGGAGCCCCTCCCTATGGGGCCCGCACCTCATGTTTCTGATCCGAGGCGGGTCATCCGAAACGTGTAGCTGTCGTCACTTTTGGGCCCCTGTGGCGAGAATCTGGAGGTAGTATCAGGCGGGAGCCTCGTCTGTGAGTGAATTGTGAGGAAGTCTCGGGCGGGGGCCCCTCCCTATGGAGCCCGCACCTCATGTTTTTAATCCGAGGCGGGTCATCCGAAACGTGTATCTGTCGTCACTTTTGGGCCCCTGTGGCGAGAACCTGGAGGTAGTATCAGGCGGGAGCCTCGTCTGTGAGTGAATTGTGAGGAAGTCTCAGGCGGGAGCCCCTCCCTATGGGGCCCGCACCTCATGTTTCTCATCCGAGGCGGGTCATTCGAAACGTGTATTTGTCGTCACTTTTGGGCCCCTGTGGCGAGAATCTGGAGGTAGTATCAGGCGGGAGCCTCGTCTGTGAGTGAATTGTGAGGAAGTCTCAGGCGGGAGCCCCTCCCTATGGGGCCCGCACCTCATGTTTCTAATCCGAGGCGGGCCATTCGAAACGTGTAACTGTCGTCACTTTTGGGCCCCTGTGGCGAGAATCTGGAGGAAGTATCAAGCGGGAGCCTCGTCTGTGATTGAATTGCGACGAAGTCTGAGGCGGGAAATTTCTCCCCATGGGGCCCGCACCTCATGTTTTTAATCCGAGGCGGATCATCCGAAACGTGTATCTGTCGTCACTTTTGGGCCCCTGTGGCGTGAATCTGGAGGAAATATCAAGCGGGAGCCTTGTCTGTGATTGAATTGCGACGGAGGCTCAGGCGGGAAGCCTCTCCCTATGGGGCCCGCACCTCATGTTTTTAATCCGAGGCGGGTCATCCGAAACGTGTATCTGTCGTCACTTTTGGCCTCCGGAGGGCTTGAATAAGGAGGATGTATCAGGCGGGAGCCTCGTCTGTGAGTGACTCGCGAGGACGTCACAGGCAGGAGCCCGCGGGTCTGTCCCCGCGGGAGTCCCCGCGTTGAGCCAGCTCGAAGCATGCGAGCTGGAGCTGAGGCGCAGGAGGAGGAGGAGGAGGAGGAGGAGGAGGAGGAGGAGGAGGAGGACGAGGAACAGGAATTGAGGAGGACGACGGCGGCCGGGCGCAGGGGGAAACCCTTGCGTCCGGGCCGGGGGTGGTATCCCATCCTCGGCCGAAGCGGCGGCCGGGCGCAGGGGGAAACCCTTGCGTCCGGGCCGGGGGTGGTAACCCATCCTCGGCCGAATCGGGGGCAGGGGTAACCCCTTGTCTCCGGGCTGGCGGTGGTAACCCATCGTCAGCCGAATCGGGCGCAGGGGGGAACCCTTGCGTCCGGGCCGGGGGTGGTAATGTCGCGATCCCAGTGGAGCCAGAGGTGCCGCCGACCTTGGCGACCGAGGGCCTTGAGCGTACCCTGGCCGTTCGGCGGGTGAGGTTTCGGGCCGGAGGAGGAGCAGCGGGATTCGGACCTGGGGGAACCCTTGCGTCCTGTCGCAGGGCCAGACGCTGCGCAAGGGCGTCACCATCGATTGCGCCAGGGATGAGGACGCTGGCCGCACGGGCATGTCGGACGAGCAGTGGTGGCTGCACCTCTACGTCATGTTCTCCCGCGCCACGTACATGCGGAACATGTTGATCCTGCGGCCGCCCGCGCGAGACTTCTTGGAGCGCGGGCCGCCGGCGTCCCTGCGGAAGGCGCTCCAGGAGTTCGACAAGAGAGCGGTGAACTCCAGGGCTGAGGCGGAGCAGCTCGCGGCAGAGCTGGGCTTCGTGCTGCCTCCGGCCTGGGCGCGGCCGCGATTAGCTCGGTGCCTGCGGGGTTGTCCCAACGGTTTGCTCTCGTGGTCCAGCGGCTCACGGGGTTGCCCCAACGGCCTGGCCCGAAGGTTTGCCCCGACGGCTTCGCGATCTAGCCGTCGGCGAACGCGTGCCTGATTGCCGCGGCGGCGAGGGCGCCGAGGAACATCGTTTTGCTTGCCCCGACCAGGGAGACGGGGAGGTGCACATGGAGAAGAGGCAGGCGGAGGATGAGGAGGAGGGAAGGGGCATGGCGTGTGGGGGAGGGTGAGGATGAGGAGGAGGTGGAGGAGGAGGAGGAGGAGGAGGAAAAGGAGGAGACGGAGGGAGATAAATAGAAGGAGGGGGAGAGAGCACAGCAGACGGCGAGAGGAGAGTGTCCGCCAGGGGGAGGAGGGAAGGGC